AATCACTAAGACTGAGGCAGCAGGACATTCGCCATTATCACTAAGACTGAGGCAGCAGGACATTCGCCATTAGCAGAACATTCGCCATTATCACTAAGACTGAGGCAGCAGGACATTCGCCATTATCACTAAGACTGAGGCAGCAGGACATTCGCCATTATCACTAGGACTGACACTAGAAGGAATTGTAACATCACCACACGCACGCCCTACATATGGAAACTAGTATTCCCTACAACACTTACTCGAAGCATTTCATGCGCTAAAGTTATAGCAAAAATACTACTACTTGAATTAATGCGATCCTAAATCTTAAAACCTTCCTCATAGAAAATCGAGAATGAGTTCTCATCATAATGGAACGAGTCCAGCACATCTAATGGGACTCTTTCGGTGATGTAGGTTGGGAAAGTCAATCCAATGTGTTTTGTATTGAAGAAAAACAAAACGCAGACTGCCGAGGGTGTTGCCAAAGTTCATAAATCTACCCCTATGCATATCCTTAAAAAGGAAACCATGAACATTAAGTGATAACATAGTCACGACGACTTTTAGTAAAATATCATATTATGAATTTAAACTACTGTTAAACATTAAAATATTTCAAATTATTACACATAAGTCGCACATGTGTCGACAAATCTAAAATTATTTATAAATCTTCAAGATGATTGCAGATGGATTTCACTGAGGCACCTCATCAATCATCAAAACAAATTGTTATAAAATACACACAACTCGTAGAGACACAGCTATACATCTGGCACGCATCGCACTTGCCGGAGAAAAAAATGATGAAATCATATACAACAAGAGAACTATGAAATAACGCTGTTTTATAAAATGAAGGTCAACTTTAAGTCTACATCACAGGGTCGGGGGATAGATCAGCAATGTTCATTGTCACCTCCACCTCAACAGATACAATACACATCAACAGATACAATACACATCAACAGATACAATACACATCAACAGATACAATACACATCAACAGATACAATACACATCAACAGATACAACACACATCAACAGATACAATACACATCAACAGATACAATACACATCAACAGATACAACACACATCAACAGATACAATACACATCAACAGATACAATACACATCAACAGATACAACACACATCAACAGATACAATACACATCAACAGATACAATACACATCAACAGATACAACACACATCAACAGATACAATACACATCAACAGATACAATACACATCAACAGATACAACACACATCAACAGATACAATACACATCAACAGATACAATACACATCAACAGATACAACACACATCAACAGATACAATACACATCAACAGATACAATACACATCAACAGATACAACACACATCAACAGATACAATACACATCAACAGATACAATACACATCAACAGATACAACACACATCAACAGATACAATACACATCAACAGATACAATACACATCAACAGATACAACACACATCAACAGATACAATACACATCAACAGATACAATACACATCAACAGATACAACACACATCAACAGATACAATACACATCAACAGATACAATACACATCAACAGATACAACACACATCAACAGATACAATACACATCAACAGATACAATACACATCAACAGATACAACACACATCAACAGATACAATACACATCAACAGATACAATACACATCAACAGATACAACACACATCAACAGATACAATACACATCAACAGATACAATACACATCAACAGATACAACACACATCAACAGATACAATACACATCAACAGATACAATACACATCAACAGATACAACACACATCAACAGATACAATACACATCAACAGATACAATACACATCAACAGATACAACACACATCAACAGATACAATACACATCAACAGATACAATACACATCAACAGATACAACACACATCAACAGATACAATACACATCAACAGATACAATACACATCAACAGATACAACACACATCAACAGATACAATACACATCAACAGATACAATACACATCAACAGATACAACACACATCAACAGATACAATACACATCAACAGATACAATACACATCAACAGATACAACACACATCAACAGATACAATACACATCAACAGATACAATACACATCAACAGATACAACACACATCAACAGATACAATACACATCAACAGATACAATACACATCAACAGATACAACACACA